ACTGGAGTATGGAGTATATAGCAGAATATTGTAAGTTAAGACTAGAAAGGTCAATTGTGTCTTCAATATGGACTGTACTCTATTGACAACAAAGAGCTATTAAAGTTTTTGAGCAAGAAAGTGATATGATCAGACGTTCTTTAGGGATGGCAATCTGGAATTACTGTTTGTTGGTTTGGAGCAACTGTAAGCAGAAAACACAGGAGATTATAGAACAGTCTAAATGAGAGATTATGAGAATCTGAACTAGGGTATTAACAGCAAAAAAAGAAGAAGCAGAAGGAGGAGGAGGGAGGAAGCAAATATGCTTATGCCAGGCCACATCTCAAGGAAGAGTCATAGTCATGGGACCCTTTCTGCTAGGCTAACATGTTTTGGCAGTATGTTTGATGGCTTGCTGGCATTTAACTGATTGGCTAATTAGTGAACTGGGCTAGCAAAGACCTGGTCAAGCAAGCCAGAGGCTGAGACTGAAAATCTGTGATCTGGGTGGAATTAGATAAAGGTCTTCTTCGTGAATCAGCCATATGTCCTTAGTGAGTTCCTTACTGAATGTAGATTGACTGAAGGCAGACATTGAGTCAACAACCTAGCCTATTACTATTTCATCGATACTGGCAGAAGAAACAAGACTCCTGGGTCAGAGACAAAGGACTTTATTACTCATGCCACAGAAAGTAGCATGAACACAATGTTGGTTTGGTTCAGTTTCCTATGCTCCTCAAGTCCCACGGGGTTGACTGGTAGGCCTAATGGATTCTGAACATGCAATGGGTTTGCATCACATCACATCTAAAGAACACGGGAGCTTGGGAAATCTACCACTTTAGAAGCAAGCTTGCTTTCTATAGAGGGACAGGGGGTTGGGAGGAGTGGGGACATTACCTCATCCCTCATGGTTGCTCACTGTATACACAATGCTGGCAAATGGGTAAAGAGAAATCATGCCTTGCAAATTCTTGGCCTAGTAAGCAAGAATGAAGGGATGCTTAGGGTCCATGGCCTCTCCCAACACCAAGACCATCTGATAAGGGATCAGATTAAACATGTGGAAAATAAGCCATGATAGAAAATCAAAGATACTCAGAAGGTGGGAACAGTTGTCACAGGGACAGCTAGTGAGATAGATAACTGCATATGTGTGTGTGTATGTGTGTGTGTGTGTGTGTGTATGTGTGATTCCCCCCTCTAATTCTGCCAGCGTAAGATGCTACACTAAATCTTTAAGTCAAAACTAACTACGTGAAAATTTTAAACCAGTCTGTTAAACACATTATAAAATTAAAAGGCAAAGAAAACATCTGGGAAATTATTCTTACTATTAAAAGAGCTCTTTTAAACCCATTAGTAACAAATAACCTAAGATACCCAGTAGAAGAAAGGATAAATGAGCAAATAACTCATAGACTTGAACTCCACATGGCTAATAAATTCATAAGAGAATTTTCAATGTCACTAAGAATGAATAAAATGAAAATTAAAGCATGATGTAACTTTTAACTGAACATATTTTAGATAGTCAACATTTTTATAAATGTGTACTCTGTGCTAGCAAGATTGGAGTACGATGGGCATTTATATGATGGTGGTGGTAGTTTAAAGTGGTAGAGATTTTCTAGAAAGCATTTAGACAATATGTACCAAGTCCTTTAAAAAGGTTTCTATCCTTTGACCTACCAATTCCCCTTCTAGGAATCTCTTCCAAGAAAATAATGTGAAATGTGGACAAAGCTTTATGCTTAAATATGTTAATATTGCAGAAGAGATCAGAGAGAGCTATGAGAGATAAATTCAGAGTGCTGTGGAAACATATGAAAGGGGAACCTAGCCTTGTTTGGGAGGTCAGGACAAGACATCCTTGAGGAGGTAATGTTTCAGCTAACATATGAGACCTAAGTAGGGGTTGCCTAGGGAGAGCCTTACAGGCAAAGATTAGAGCATGCGTGAAGGCCCGAGGTAGTGGAAAGGAGTATGGCAGAGCCAAGGAACTAGAAATCCTATGTGGCTGTAACAGACTGAGGGAGGCAATTGTTAGACAAGGCTGAAGAAGATAAGTGCAGGATGTTGGGAAGATAAGGGATTGCCCTGCCAAGAAACCTATAGAAATTTATCTTACTCTGGCTAGCCATGGCAGCCTTGTGGTGGTTGTAAGAGTAGGCTGCATAGGCAGAAAGATCTGTCAGTTCTAGCCCTGCCGCATACCAGAGGCAGCAATATACAGTAGGAA